AAATGACACCTGTGCATGTCTGTCAAGATGGAGATGTACCAGCAAATTACACCTGTGCATGTATGTCAAGATGGAGATATACCAGGAGATGACACCTGTGCATGTATGTCAAGATGGAGATATACAAGCAAATGGCACCTGTGCATTTATGTCAAGATGGAGATATACCAGCAAATGACACCTGTGCATGTATGTCAAGATGGAGATATACCAGCAGATGACACCTGTGCATGTCTGTCAAGATGGAGATATACCAGCAGATGACACCTATGCATGTCTGGCGAGGTGATGATAATGAATATAGTACCAGTGTTTTGGTATCGACACTTACTGTATTCAGTTTTGTGGGCCAATCAGCATTTATGTAAATTGAAATATCAAGTTTATGGCTTCTCATATATTTCAATAGAAATAAATTGACATTGACGTAAAATAATGTTAACATCTCTCATACCTCCGAAGACATCTCTTTCAACCAGGGCAAAGTGAAGCTAAGAGGCGATACGGATAATATGAACCCATGTGATCGGGCTTCCAGACGACCTCAGCTGACACTACAACTGCCTTTCTACGGTAACTGGTGTATCATTGGGCGTGGACAGCACCCGCAACTCATTCGTACACTTCACCATGCATGCGGAGGGTTATACTTTCCCCGCTACTCGGAACATTTGGACCAGCAAAATACACCCCCTATATCTACTGACCACATTCTTCACAGGGAAAGTCCAGCATAACATGGCTTTCTGGGAATGGAGCCCACGTGACCACGGACAGTTGTAATGTACCTTGGTCGTCTTGGTATATCTTTAAGTCTGCTACTACAGTGTAAATGATATGTTTCCATTAAATCGACTGACTGAGTTTGGTTTGACGCCGCTTTTAGCAATATTCCAGCAATATTCACGGCGGGGGACACCAGAAATGGGTTTTACACATTTTACCCATGTGGGGATTCGAACCCGGGTCTTCGGCGTAACGAGCAAACGCTTTAACCACTAAGCTACCCCACCGCCCCCATTCAGTCGAGTGAGTGAGTGAGTGAGTGAGTTGTTTTACGCCGCACTCAGCAATATTCCAGCTATATGGCGGCCCATTCAGTCGAAGTCACCGTGGCTGTTGAATATATACCGAATTTATGGTTGATTTGTTCATGTTTTACGTACTTATGTCAGATTCAACTTTAAAATAATGTCTTGTAATTTCTCATCACTGTAACAGTTGTGGCGAGATCATGATTTCCGGAAAATAATAATGATTAATTATGAATTTATAATGCGTCTTTTCCATGTACAAGGCATCAAAGCGCTAACACACAATCTGATCTTTATTACCCTGTGATTACACAATGCCATTTAGAAATTGGTCAAATGTAACATATGTTACTTTCTTTGGGATTACACTACAAATTCTAGTACTTTTTTAGTTGAGCCCCATCCGGGATTCGAACTCGCACCATCAGAGTCAGGCACCTAATCGCCAGCACACATGTTACATTATTACCCTGGATAACCCAGGCGCTAGAAGATTAATAATCACGTGGCGTATCCCACCGGGTACCCATTTTCTGCTGGGTGAACGGAGGCAACTTGAATGAAGGTGAGACCACATGTACCATATGTGCTTCGTTGTTGGGCAGGACTGAAGTCCTCAGGAGTCAAGCTGCCAAACACTGTCACCCATCCAAGGTCTCTCAGCGCCAAAGGTCGCTTGACTTCAACGGATTCATGACCTGAGCTCTACGCACAGGACCACACACCACCACATATAATTATTAAGGATTTAAAAATACATAATGGTTATATGTTAGGAAATTTTAAAAATGCCTTTTCGCATTGTGAACCTTCCGACCAGGGAGAGTACTACCAAACTGTCGGAAAACTTCTGCATGAATTTAGAGGTCTCATTTGTCAGAACAGAAGTTACTACTACAGCAAATTCATCACCTATCAGTTCTAGATGAGATTACAAATTTCGCTTGGTAACTTGTAGTAGGAATAGTGCCCTCTGAAGGACAGGACAGTGTATATCACCTGGCTCTGTCTGTTGCCTTGGTCACAGGAATGAAGACGCTCTCAGACAGAGATACAGCATAGTGCATGCCATCCTCGTTTGTTCTGAAAGGTGACAGCCTTGGTCACAGGAAAGAAGACGCTCTGAAGGACAGACAGCACTGTGTGTATCACTTCGTTTTTACTGGTGACAGCATTGTTCACAGGGAAGAATATGCTCTCAGGGTCAAACACCACAGTTAATATAACTCCCGATCTTATTGGTGCCAGTCTTGTTCACAGGAAATTATACGCTCTGAAAGGACAGACAGCACATTGTGTATCACCCTTCTGCTCAATGGTGACAGCCTAAGTCACAGGAAAGAAGACTCTCTCAGGGATAAACAAAACAGCACAATATATAACACCTCGTTTGTTCTGAAAGGTGACAGCCTAAGTCACAGGAAAGAAGACTCTATCAGGGATAAAACAATACAATGTAGGCACCCTCGTTCTTATTGGTGGCAGGCTTAGTCGCAGAAAAGTAGACGCTCTGAAGAACAGACAGCACAGTGTATCACCTCGGTCATTATGGCCACCGACCTGATCACAGGTGTGAAGTTTACCTGGATGTTTGGAATCCAGTCTTTCACTTGCTGCGAAAATAATCCAAAGAAAGCCACAATTGCAAATTCAACACACTTGGGTGTTAAAGATATATTTACTTTCAACAAAGTCAGCCTGACAACATGCACTTAATATGAAAGACGTACGCTTGAATCTTAAACAGACTTCCACACTTTAAGTAAAACGTTGTTGCATTCTACCTCAACCAGCTTAAGTAAAATAGGTATACAGTTGTAACGAATTTGCAAAATTGACAAATTATTCGGAACTGTTTAGTTATTATTCACAGGGTGACGATTTGATTGAATTCACCAGGCAGGATCATAATAAGAAAAAAACCGCGCAAATTAGCAAAATATGCAGGACGCAAATATAAGACGAATCAAATTCATGTATCATAATTATACTATATTTTGAATTTGGATACTTGTTACAAACATGCATGAATTACAGGCACATAGAAAAATATATGATTTCCAACCCACTTTCTGATAAAATTGTACATAATTAACAATGTTTTATAAAATTGATGGTGTTCCGATTAAAAAATACCAAGGCGCAAACTACCGGTGAAATCCATATGAATGTATCACTACACATCAGTGATGACACCAGATGTTCGCGAAAAGAATAAGCAGGCCCTGCCTGCAACATGCATATGTGTTTGTTGCGAAACTCGCGTAAGGTGACGTCTCAATCAATATGATATGTACAATAAACTACACATGGATAAGCTAGTCCCTGATTTAACCTAACAAGTCGATGTGATTTGGGTCTTCATGAACCCTATTCCACAGTGATGTCATTTCACCTAACAAGGCGATGTGATGTAGGCCCATATGAACCGTATTTCATAGTGAAGTCCTTCACCCTAACAATGCTATGTGATATATAGAGGATATTATGAGTGCCCATGTCATGCTATGTTTACGACACGAGTGCCTAAATGTTCGTATTTCCCGAGCGAGAGCGAGGGATATACATGTACCGATATTTAGGCACGAGTGTCGTAAACATAGTATGGTATGGGCACGAATATAATATTCTGTTTATTACCAAAGTCGTCAAATTGAGGAAAATAACCCAAATCTACCTTCAAATTCAAACATAGGCTGTCTACCCGCCGTCGCCGCATGTAGAACGCAACGTCACAGAAGAAACGTGACGTCATACTAGCATTGTTCATGACGTCACCATGACAAAGTGATATTTTGCCCTAGGGCATCGTATGAAAAATATGAACCCCGATATGTTCGCCCTCGTAGGTAATAAATATCAATATGAACCCTATATTTCAACGCCCAACGTGGCGTCATTTAACCTAACAAGATGATGTGATATGGGTGTATGTGAACCCAAATTCCATAATGATGTCATTTAACCTTACAATGGCTTTTACACTCGTGTACACACCCTATGCCCATCAAGTGTGTGCATGTACTGTTTTGTATCTAACCTATCGGACAAAAGACAGTAAGCATAAATGTTTGGTTGTTGTTGAAAATGAAACAAACCAAAATGGTTATTCGAGGAAAATGTCATGGAGCTGTATTGAACACGTGTATCTTAGTTGAGTATGGGACGCTCAGTTTCTAGTATTCCTGATTAAGTAAGGATTGAAATGAACATATCTCACCGAAAAGAACTTTCTTAAATTATAATCATAAAATATAAAATGAAAAGGAGCCCAGAGACTGTCTTCATTTCCAGCCTGAAACTGTGATAATCTGGACTATTCTAGACGTGCATGGACTTTCTTGGATATTTTTTTTTCAGGATCTGTATGAAAAAATATACTTTCTACTGCCCAGGAGTTTATTATTACATCGAGCGTGAGACAAAGTATGGAGGTGACTCGTTACATGATAAACACACAGCAGTATGGTACTGTTGAAGTGAGCGGGTGAAAAGTGGACGTCGCATCGGCATTAATTTCAGCCACTTTGCGAATAGTGAAAGTGGTGTTAAATTTTAAGTGTACACCACATGGCCGCAGGGGCGATGGAGTAGCGTATTGGTTCAAGCGTTCGCTCGTCACGCCAAAGACCCGGGTTCGATTCCCCACATGGGTACAATGTGTGAAACCCATTTCATGAGGCATGTCTAACGCTGAAAAAATAATGACTTATCACAATTTTCGTAAACGAAAGGTATATTTTATCGTGTAAATAGTAGAAACATTAATAATATGCATCCAAGCTGATGTTAATAGCGGTTATTAATGAAAATCTTACCTGCTTGCTGTAACTAATTGTAAACATCCGGTGCATGTTTTCAGTAGACGAGACGTCTGCTTCCTTTGAGTCACGCGCATCAAAAACTCGTGCAGCGGAAGTGTGTTCTGATTGGTTAAACGCGTAACCATGACATCTCAGGGCGATGCTGGCAAACACCTGTGTGAAATATACAACGCTTCAAATCTGATGTGACAGTTTTTCTACAAATAGTCTAAAACGACGAAGGCAGCATTTGAAAGGATCTGGAACAGTGGGGCCTTGGTGTGTTAGCCTTGTGGGTAACGCTTTGTCTCGTTAGGCAAAGATCAGGGTTCGATTCTCGCTGGGAAACGCATTCTCGGTTTCTTAAGCAGTGGTATGGCTTCAATAGTTAGGACAGCGGCGATTAAGCCGATTTTCTCGTCAAAATACATTTACCACAAGACTGGGTAGCCTAGTGGTTAAAGTGTTCGCTCGTCACGCCGAAGATCCGGTTTCAATTCTCTCAATGGATACAATAGGTTAGGTTGTGTGCTATAACATATTGATACAGCGTCATTAGAATAATCATCAATTGTTCGACTGAAATACAATCTAACGTCATATTTACGGTATCTTTGGGCATTGTGTAATAAAGCTACTTTAAATCGTAACAAATTTTATTTTAGCTGATGTCAAAACAACCTAATATGGTTCATCTTCGATATGACCTCTGCGACAGCGGGGTCTTATACACTTTTCAGACCAATCAAAATAGAAAAAGAAAGAGATAAAAATCGCATGACCACCCGATCCCGTTAGTCGACTCTTGAAACAAGCATGGGTTGCTGAAGACCACTTCTGATCCGGATATTCACGGGTCGAATGCTCGTTGGAACTATAGTACTATCATTTACAGACCGCTGCCATATAGCTGGAATATTGCTGATTGTGGCGTTAAACAACAAACAAACGAAAAAAACAAATAAACGTTTGTCTCTTCCCCGGCCCTCCAAATCGGCGTCGTTGTATAAGCTCGAGTAACAGATTCATGAACATAATACAAATCTGTTTTAATCATTTCCCAAGTTTCACCAATCAACGGAGGTCACGTGAGGGCACTTGAGGAATTTGCTGCCAATGTATATTCATCAGTCTAATGCTTGGAGTGCTTGTTAATTAGCCTCGATTGGCATCTTGCTGCCTTTGGTGTAATGACCACAATCGTAGTGGGGTCAGTCAATTGAGTGTGAAGTGCATGCAGAAAGTTTGGCCAGCATGTCCAGCGTGATTTTAAGGGTAGTCCCCTACACTTCTCGGTTCATTTTGTCTTTTATGTTTAAGCAATATTATATCTGAAAAATCACTCAATGATTCTTCATGATTATATTTTTTTTCAAAAGTAATTTTTTAAAAATGATCCGAAATACACATCTGCTGGAAGGTGTCTTAGACATCGTATCCTTGAGATTGACTAATTTGCTTCTTTCGCCATAACAATTTCAACATTTCAAACATTGTACAGGTCATGTGGTTGCAAACATTCATGTCTTACGTCAGTCTAGTAACACGATATCGGATTCATGTGAAAATAATAACCTATAGTTATATTTATAATCGTATGATAATTACCGGTGAAGATACGGGTTGAAATTAGTCTTCAGCAACCCACGCTTGTCGTAAGAGGCGACCAACGGGATCGGGTGACATTCCATCGTATCCCAATTGCGTAGATCGATGTTCATGCTGTTGATCGCTGGATTGTCTGGTCCAGACTCGATTATTTACAGACCGCCGAAGCATAGATGGGATATTGCTGAGTGCGGCGTAAAACAGCAAACAAATAAAAGCTAAGACAAGCAAGACTTGGTTATTCGATAGTGAGGTTTTCATTCGTATTATGTAGCGAGAACTACGGTCTTATATAATGGGATTGTTTAAGTATTTTTATTCGGGTACTTTAGGCGATATTATATACACTATATTAATGAGTAAATAAGACCCGGGTTCGATTCCCCACATGGGTACAATGTGTGAAGCCCGTTTCTGGTGTCCCCAACGTGATATTGCTGGAACATTGCTAAAAGCGGCATAAAACAAAAAACTCACTCAAGCGGCATGGGTTCTCAATCTAAATGTACACAGTAACGAGCAGATTGAAATGTGGATTTATTAGTGAATATTTTCTTTTGCACGACACTTACAAATATATGGGAACGGTGTCCTGTTTAGACCTGAATTATAACCTTTTTTTTCTGATGAAACAATGTTTTGAAACAACATTTCATATTTCTATTTGACAGTTTCATCAATTCTTTGTCGTATCATTTTTAACATGTCTCTAGATATTGACAGTTACTATATTTCATACAAATAACTGAGAATTATGGACTCGTACATAGGACTTAAAACTTCAGAGTAAACAACTTAATTATAAAACATCCATTCTGTGCAATACGGATTCGGTAGTTTCTCTCAAATTTACAGGACGTCGTTTTAAACGAAACTGTCATCTTGAAACGGGTCACACAAAGCCGTGTTTGGTTGGATTTGAAGATGATTTGCGGGACGCTTCTTCTAGTAATGCTGACGATTACCAGACTATTTTTAAAATCTTCCCAAACTTTTGATTATCAGGGGAGAGTTAGTGGGTGAGTTGTATTTTTACGTCCCGTACATCACATAGGCACGTATTTTTAAAATTAGATCTCCTTCACCATATTCTTCTTCTAAACGTGTAACGTAGATCAAATTCAGAATATGTTCACAAATTAGATCACGACAATGTTTGCAGATCAATTATAACCTACATTTTCTCATTCAAAAACACTAGTGACTTTAACACAATAATATTTTGAGACCAATTATGTTTTTTCCGCCTCAAGGTGGACTATGGCCTGATTGACAGCTGTCGCCCATGGCAAAAGAAATGATGTTTGTGAAACTCCTTACAGTGGTGTCTTAATCCCAAACACAACATTACACACCAGAGAGACACGTTGCGCGCTCTGAACCGGAGTTTGCCGGCTCATCTGCCTCTGACGGTATGACGTAATCAATTTCCCGTTTCAACCCAGACACCCCTTTGATCTTTAGTAAAGACCAGCATCCATGATCGGTCACGCAAATCAACATGGAAATTAGAGAGAAAATAAAGGTTAAGGATTTCCGGATCTCCTTAATGACACGCCTAAATATTTCGCAAGATTAAACCGAGTGAGAAACTTAGATAAAGAAGATTTCATGCAGGACTTTATTAATGGAATTAGTACGAGATATTTGTTTGTGTGAGAAATACGCATAATCAATCTCTACATCATCATCATCATCATCTTTGTAGAGTGCAGCAATGTTTGCGAAATTTGAACAAGTCATGCATATATATTACACTGGGGATGATTGACATGAAAACTTTATATATTAATAACCAACAGTAAATTAAAATTGATAAGGAGATCTGTCTCACTTCACACACACACACGCACGCACGCACGCACGCACACACACACACACACACACACACACACACACACACACACACCAACACAAACACAAAATTGAGAAAAGCGAACACATATTTGCCTGCTGAGTGTTTAGGGAAGAGGACTATATAGAAGTAACTGTACCAAAACAACTTATTTCAGTAGTTAAGGATTCATTTTGTTCTGATCAAATTATTTCCGCTTACTCATATATTATCTTGCCTAAAATAAACCATGAAACGTTAGTTGAAAACTATAATGCGTTCCCGTCCGATGGTCCAGTTGTAATTTAATATTTATATTTTAAATTTTGAACATTAAACTCCTTGTAATTGCCAACAAATATTTTTACTTTATATTCGTAACAATTAAATCAAAAAGTTAGTGAAAGGAGACATTTTTAGAATGTGTTCATGCATGTCGAAATATTTCACGTGCATCGACGAAATCATGCGCGTGAAATTACTTTCTATCCGCCATGTTTATTACGAAAACGTTGCCCGTGTCAATCTCGACAAATATGAAGCGAGTTTATTTCGAAGACCCCCGAACCCCGTCAAAACAGGACATATGCACTCGTATGGTACGGGAGCGACTCAAGAGGAGGTAATTCTAAAATACCGTGGCGCTAGTTGGCGCGATTTCATTGGCTGTTTTGTCCTCTGCGCATCAAATTCAAACCCCGGAAATCTAGCCGCTCGTGTATTGTTTGGGTAATGGCCTTCAGGTAATTGTACTGTTTTGAAGAAAGAAATCGCGATATTTCCATGAAAATGAAGCCACAGTGAGTATTTAAAGTTTACAGTGTGATGCATGATGCAATAGTTTCAAGATGGAGTCTCTCAAAGTACGCGATTGTTACTTTTGTAATCGAAAAGTTCAAATAATTGGCGATGCATTCGACGTGGATGGGGCAAGAACGGGATAAGTTTGTCACACAAATCTCCGTGATATTAGATTTCGCAAGTCTGACAAGGTCTAGACCAATGATTGTTGATTTTGATGACAGATATACTACTCTGTTTGCCTCTGTCATCAGTAAATAAACATTGGTGATATTTCAAAGGTTTGTTGTTTTAGAACCTCATATTCACTTCTATGCAACTGGCAGTTGTGATTGTCAGATGGCTGACAGTCTGTGACAAATCGAAAAACCGCTCCGCCTTAAAATAACCAGAGGAAATAAATACACTCACTAAAATTTACGAAACTTTACCGAGTCATTAATGACATTATTTAATGTCACTGTGTGAAGTGGTTACGATTGACCATGGTATCCTACTGCAATACCCATGAATTGAACCAGAAAATTTGAGAAGGACCCATCTGCCATGTTTTCAATGCTGTACCTAACTATGACAAGCATTAGGCCAATGGAAATGGATTAAATTAACATGCACCTTCTGAAATTGAAATATATTGTATGATTTATGTCATTAAACTTTATGTCATTATACTCCAAGCTAAATGAATCACCAGATTATTATACCTATAAAAACCTTCAATGAAGAAAAATAGAAAATCCAAATGATGTGACGCTCTCTCCACATACACATTCAACCATAATATTAAGATATGTTTTTCTTTTACCTCTTTCAAGAAAGAATATTTGTGGGAAGACTTGTGGAATTGATCAGTTCTACCCTGGACTTTATTTCAGTTGCAGGTGAAAAGTATTTAGGCAATGGCAAATATATATCATAAAGATAAAAGACCAGGGGTTGCAGTCATGTTACTACTTTTGAAATGATAAATGCATTACTTATGCATATTTATATCCTGTGAACAATATATTCTTGTCATTACCCTGATCGTCAATGTCTGATAAGTGATTCAGATATTATATTAGACCTCTAACATCTCAGGACCCCCCCCCTCCCTCCCTCTAATTTCGAGCACTGCCTGTCATGTCTTTGCATCGATGTATTTACCTTATGTTTAATGTTGAAGTCCATAGATTCAACTTGTGAAGATCCGGATTAGAATTAGTCTTCAGTAACCCATGCTTGAGGCGGCTAACATGATCAGGTGGTCATGCTTGCTGACTTGGTTGACACGTCATTTTATCCTGGTTGCGTAGATCGATGCAGATGCTGTTGATGACTGGATTGTCTGGCCCAGACTCAATTATTGACAGACCGCTGCCATGTAGCTGGAATATTGCTAAGTGCAGCATTAAACAACAGCCCAACCATAGATTCAACTTCAGTAGGAACACAGTTAAGGCTGGATTAATTTCATTACACCTCAGACAACTGAAGATGAAGGCTTTTAAGAACCTAGACTAACATCTTGTCTTTGAAATGAACATATTTTACAGAAAAAACTTTTCATTAAAAATGATGAAAAGGATCCCAGAGACTTTCTTCATCTCAGACTTGCCACATATTGTAGACTTGCCACATATTGTAGACTTGCCACATATTGTAGACTTGCCACATATTGTAGACTTGCATGGGCTTTCTTTGATATATTTGTTTCAGGGTCTGTATGACCATGATGACAGCCTATCAAGAACCATACAGTTTAATGTTGTAGTCAGTTGTATCTGTAGCGTTAAGATAATTGAGATATGATTCATATCCTGATACAATACTTCATAACCACACATTAGAATCCTTTGTTTTCAAATTTCCTGCAGCAAAGAGGGGATAATGGGTGAGAAACGTAAGTGTGAGGCACTGTGCACAATACCAGGAAATACTGAGGATTCTGCTTAGACTAATTCTTGAATATTGTTGGTTTTTGGGGTACTGTTTAAACAATGTTAAATGTTTTTCCATCAATTGTATTGTAATGGATCGTATGTATCGGATACAAGAGTTGTAAATCAGTGGATTGTCAGCCTCACATTGCAATACAACATTCTGTACTGCTTGATCGTTACACAACTAATGCTCAGTGAAATTTATTAGTTTTGGAACTAGTTGCCAGGCAAATAGTAATTAGTATGTATATTCTTTCTTTACACTACAATCTCTTGAAAATAATCTGCAGCATACAAGACTGAAGAGAAATAGGACTGTGATATTTTGGTCTTCCTAATGTGACCTTATAAAGATGACTTACAGACTGGTCTGGACTTTATTATGTGTTTATCAAGCAATGTGCTTTTGGGGTAAATGCAGTAAACGTCATCGACCCCTGTTTAAATTTCAAAGACAAAATGCATCATTTTGATTGCCGTCTCTCATTAATGCTCTTATGCCAAAGGTTGAAGTTTCAGGATTCAAACACAGGAGTACATTTCTGGATCCGTGGATAGGCGTTAATGTTTCTTGTTTTGTAATCAACCCTAAATTTCTATTTGTTCTTGCAGGAGAGGAAAGACCCCTCGGAAGAGAAATGGGACCCAACAGTTTGATCCGGTTGAGGTGGGTTGAATATTGACAATTGTTAATTGTAACATGGAATAAATGCTTGTACCATATTAAGAGCAGTATCTTTATTACCGGACAGTTATCACTGTTGGATGAAGCACAATGACTGTAATCTTAACTTTGTCTCAGCGCAGTGCATGTGTTGATAGTCAAGATAATAAGTTGTGCATACACAAAGAAAACTATCTTGCTTGGGAGTTATCTATAACTGCTCCGAGGCAAATATTTGATTACATGTCTGCAGCAAATGATAAAATAATTCCCAGTTTAAATAAATAAATCCCAATTTCTTTGAATTCTTGAAAATAAGAATATTGATTTTAATCCAACTTTGAAAAAAATCATGATTTTGTCCATATTTGTATGCAAAGGGGACTTCGTTTGGATTTTTAGATATTTTTGATAAATTTCTACTAGGCTATGCTACTATTGTTAAACTTGTTTTGTAAACTTGTCGATGTGATTTGTCAATATTACTCGATAGTAATAACTAAAAATACAACCTGTTTGACTGTTACCATGGTTACACTTTTGAAAATTACAGGTATATTGTCGTATTCGCCCCCTGGAAAACCCAGAGGAACCGCTGTGTGTCAAAGTCTTGAATAACCGTGTTGTAGAGCTGACCCCATCAGAGGTAAGTTCTGCACTGATAGTCTAGTTTCACAGCTAGTGCATGTCTTTTCTACTTGGCTGTCTGAAGTGTTTCTCCAACCTAAGAATACTGTCTGTCAGTGAATGCCTTCAGTCAGGATCTACTGTCTGTGCACTGGTAGTTGAAGTGTTTCTCAAGACCACAGACAATCTGATTTTGTTAAGATCATTTAAAAGGGCTCGATTTCTGTATTTAGGAGCTGCTCTGGTGCAACATAAAACTGCAAAATGCAATGCCATATTTATACAAACTTGCACCCAGTGACTCATATTTTGTCTTTCCAAGATCACATCATAGATTCAAATCGCTATTATTGGTTTGTATTACAGGGGGGTAAGCGCAGTAGTTGGAGCTTTAAAACAAATGCACGTGCGGTACGTTATGAGCTTTAATTTAGACCAACCCTACTTGTTCTCGGTGTTTCATTTAATGTACATACCCAGTGTAGGAAAGATGTAGAAAATCTAGCCTGTCCACAGGACTGGCAGGTCAAATTTTTTACCAGTCCTGCCAAAACCTAGCCTGTCCTCCAAATATAAATAAAACACCTTCGGCAGTAAATATTCAAAAAGGTTATAATCATTATATATATGTCATTGGTTTGCTAAAATTGACCCGACATGAGGACGGACTAGACATTTTTTTTAACCCGTCCTCCACAAAATTCACCCGTCTCGGACGTTGGGACGGGCTATCTTTCCGACACTGACATACCCCCTTGTAATACAAACCAATAATAGCGATTTGAAACTATGATCATTTGTTAAACAACTTTTATCCTAAGTTGAATAAAATTCTGAGTTTTAAATGTTCGATTGGCAAGGTCAAATTATGAGGATGTGCAATCTCAATTTCACCCTTTTCGATTTACTTTTTTGTTTAAAGTGAAATTCATCGGTACTTTTTCACTGCAAATAGACTATAATTATTCTGATGTGATACCCATGTGTGTGAATCTGATATCCCTCTATAAGGGTCACATGCAAACTCAGTGGTATTTGTTAGCAATTTGAAGTGGTCAGGCTCTGTGTTTGTTGATAGTGTCACCCTGGTATATTGTTACTCATTGATTTGTTTCAAATATTTCCAGATCACTGTTGCTGAAATACTGCTCAGTGTAACTTTAAAAAAACAGATTTAACAACCTTCCCAACCAAAGTAAAGTTACTCAGATTCTGTATGAAAAAGAACAAGTATAGGCTGATGGAAATCAAAATGTTAAATAATTTCTAAAGCATGAAATGTTAATTTTTTTATTTTGGACCAAAAAATCAACGCAGGTCAGTGTTTAGGTATTTTCTGAGGATATTATATGTGAGTTAACTTTCAGCTGTACATGGGGAGACGCCAATGGGATGTGGAAGCAGTAAGTCTGTGGCCAAATTCCTGGCTTGGAGTAGATTTAGTCTGCTTACCGGTAGTTATGCTTTGTGTGGCTTGTAGTTGGGTTTATTCAGTATGTTCATGCTCATCCTAGAGTCTTCTGTAAATTCCATGTTGTTAACTGTGTGGTGAGACTATTGGGAATGACGTCTTTTTGGATAAGTTTTGACATGTTGAATCCTTGCATATCTGCTAAACACTTTAAGGGATTTGGATAGAGAACTTTGACAATGGGCCATTTTCAGGATTATTAGCCATTTTCTGAATTTAGAATGGGCCACTGCCCTTTTATCAATAGTAAACTTAAAAATTTTAATGGGCCATTTTTTATTCTACTGTGCAAAATGGCCCATAGAGCCTGCCTTTCCCAATCCCTGCACTTTGAATTAAAAAGTGGAAATCAACGTTGCAGCAACTGATTTTTGTCTCTGAATATTTAAAGACTTGTACAGCTTTTATCTGTCTGTGGTTGAATACAACTGAAAATGTTGTGAAAATAATAAGTCTCCCATGATAATACTGAACACATGAGAATCTACAGAAAGTTCATGGATTTTGTTTCAGATTTAATTGGAAAGAGATCTTTCTTCCTAGACTGACTAAAGATTTAATAGGCCACAGCTTATTTCAGCATGTTCAGGCTATCGATTTGATTTAACAAGTGTTATATATTTTATTTGTCTTGGGACTAACAGACCTGTGGCAATGTGTAACCTTCCTGTTGTAGAAATGTTTTGTACAGCATGATGAAATATTTAACGTTAGTCTGGACCATTCTTATCCATTGTCTGAGATCCAAGCCTCCACCATTAACAAGTGATGGAGATATATCTCTTCAGAGAAGGATTCAATTTCTCTTATTACCAAAGATCTCTTCCCAATCTTTGTGTTGGTGTGTGAGTGAGGCAATGTACAGGTTTGATCAAATAACAGAATGGTCTTGTTGAAGTATTTAAGTTTATTAGTGGGAGTCCTGGAAATAACTGGCTGTGTATTTTCAAATTTTGCCAAAGTTCTGGCATCCACTACAAGACAGACTGTTATCAAGCTTACTTGATATCTCCATTTCTATGTGAGAAATACTGTGAACACATCTGCTGACGTAGCTTCCTATTGTAGGTGATGTCACTGTCTCCAAGTCTTTTATCATCAACTTTGTACAGAATTTCATCTTTTTATTAATTTGAAATTAAACCTAATTAAACCTTAAGCAAATATGTTCCTAAAACCACTACCTCATTCAGGCTGGATAGTTTTATATAAAAGAGGACTGTTTGTCTTGAAATTTTATCTGGAATAGATGTTTTGAAGGATGTTCTGATACACGTTTAACACAATTTCATTATGCTAATAGTAAGTTATACAACCAGTTGTATAGGGGTAACTATTGAGGGGGAAACAACTATTGAGATAGAGATAGTCTATTGTGACCAACTATTGCAATACTATTGCAATAGTTTTTTCTCCTTGAATTGTCTCATTTGAAGTCATTTCCCAAATGTACGTATAGTTTATATGAAAGAAAAACACCCGCTCTGACTGGGTTCGGTATCCCGGGTGCTTCGTTTCTTGGGAAGTAAACCCAAGTAAAAAATATTGCACTTTTGATTTGCGATTGTACGCTTACAATTTTGTTTATATGTTTTTTCATAATCAGCAATGTATATTATATGTCCTGAGTAAGTGATAATTGTGTTTGAATTATGTTTGATCTTTTGGTTGCATGTGACCTTTAAAGTAGTTTGTCAATGTAATAGTTGACAAGAAACTTGAAACCCAGATCAAGTAAACAGTTAACACATAAACTCAGTGAAGCTGCAAGTCTACACTCTAAATCAAAGTGAACGAATCTGGTACTTCCTGTAATTTGTGCTGCACATTTATCATCAGAAGTCAATTACTAAACTGCCGATAGTCACACATACTATTGAAGCATCAATAGTTTTTCGTTTCTACCAATGTACCATCCGTTAATTGCTATCAGAGAGTGAACAATTTCAATGCATCGATAGTTCGATGCATCGTTACAGGCTTACAGTTGTATCACAGGTAAATAGTTCTTCACAAGGAGATGGGTCTTCATGCTGAAGTGCTCAACATCGTTATTAGTTTGGTTGAAGGCAGCAGTCCCTTGGTGTTTACATCTTTTTAGAATACATGAAAAATGCATGGACATCAAAATGTTTAAACAAGTGTGTTTACAGGTATGTAAATAGTACTAAATACCATTATGCTACAACATGTCCACCACTGTAAGTGTGATGAACTGTGAAGTATGATGATAGTTATTTCAATCATGACAGAAGAGTGATTAGACAGCTATTTCGTTCATCGTTTATTTAAATCAGTATGAAGCTATGGTAATGAATGGACCCAGCATGTATTTATCATATAACTAGAATGGAGATGTCGCTGGGCAGATGCTTGGAATAGTCTTTGTCTTGATTGCCAACTGTCCAAACCTGTGCATTGCTTCACCTTGTTTTCCCTGCTTCCTAGACCAGGTGATGTTAGTTGCTTTGTGCATGTGTTTCTAACTTATGTTTTCTGCCGTTGTAGACCGCTGTTAATAGGAACGGACAAGCCAAGGAGGTAGGAGCTTGTTGTGAAGTGTTGTTGCCGGGAAAGTCCCAGTGTGATGTAGACAGTGATACAATCTGCTGAGTGAAATTTGAAATATTTGCCCAAAATGCAGTGGTGCTGTTTGATACAGATGGCCTTAGGATATGTTGGTGATATCAAACTTCAATATGATATTCTATGTCATCAATTTGATAAGAATTCTGGAGGATATTTTGGATGACGATCAGTCTGTCTTGTAGACAATGAACCTATCTGATTCTCTGTAAATGTTAAATTTGGATTTGATAATAATAATAATCCTCAACGGCAATTTTAATCAGGGTTGACAGAATTTGTATCATAGCTTCTTTTGACTTTTGGTTTAGTTAACAAGAAATGATAGTTAGTTTTGGCAGACCAGTTGTCATATCTTTTCACTCAAGTGGAACAGAGTTGTCAGCTAATGATAAGTTTTTTAAATACAGCAGAGAAATTGGACCTGTTGCCAAAAAAGGGGTCTTTTTCAACTTTTGAAGAATATAAATGTGTTAAGGGTTTTAACTGTGTTCTGAAATAATTCTGTTAAGACTTATATGGATTTGAAAATATGACATTATTTAACTTATTGTTTAGACCTTTACATATTTTGCATTATTGATTTTTGCTCGTATCTTCTGTATTTTGACTGCATGTTGAGGTTGAATCATTACATGGTGGAGCTTGACATACATGTGCATGTTGGTGACGTTCTTCATACTGTGCTTTAGATCTACGCTAGTTTGGTGGTTTTCTTAGATTTAGAGATTTGTGTGTTTGTGCGTGTAGTGGCAGTTGTAAGTATTTTTTAAAACTTTTTTTCTACTAATTTTGTGCTAATGCATTTCAGTGTTCCATCTTGTGTTCTGATGAGGAATGTTGGATCATTCTGCTAAAATCAGCTTTTGCTGAAGAGTATTTTTGTTTATAGTAAAAGCCCAGCCCTTTCTGAAACTGAAAGTAACACATACAGTTGTAATGTAACGGGGTAAGCCGTCTCCATTGTCTGGGGGCACTGGTGGCTTAGTTCTCTACCTCACCGCTATTCGCTGTACAGAGTTGTGTGCCCTTGACATGCCAGAAATTCATGATTGTAGGTGTGAATTCCTGTTTGTCGTGGAATATTTCTAGGTTTGTCAGCACTCTATCCATGCTCGTGGGTTTTACAAAAATGGTACCGATTTAAGACCTGCATCATTCTGGGCTCTCTTCCCACATTAATCTGACATGCTGTGATAGCTGGAATACTGTTTAAAACAGCATGGTGCTGCCATTCATTGTGTGGAGAGTTTGGGTTTTTGTCTTGACATTCAGTACTGCAGTGTCTTGGGAAATAGAAGTGAAAGTTCCAGGTTAGAATTGGCCTTCAGCAATCTATGCTTGTCGTAAGAGGTGAGGTGTGGTGAGGTGAAATTGGGTTTTACGTCGTGCTTGAGAATATTTCGCTCATATGATGGCGTGTATATGTGTATGTGCGGCTACTTGTACTAGCCCAGATTGAAGCTGGTTTTATAGTGCTAGCCCACTGAGATACCATGCCGCAGTGAAGCATGAATACCCCACTCAGACACATTATACTGACTCCTAGCCGACCAGTCCTTGTTGTACCCATTAATGCCGAGCGCCAGGCAGTGACCAAGAAGTACCATATTTTAACGTCTTTTGGTATGACGCGGTCGGGGAACGAACCCGTGACCTTCCGCTCTCCGAGTGGACGCTTTAACCACTACACCACAGAGGCGGTCGCTTGTCGTAAGAGGCGACGGACAGGGTTGAGCGATCAGACTAGCTGATTTGGTTGACACATGGCACAGTATCTTGTATGCCAGTTGCTTAGATCAATGCACATGATGTTGATCACTGTATTGTCTGGTGCAGACTCGATTATTCACAGATTGACGTCATATAGCTGGAATGTTTCTGAGTGCGGCGTAAACCTAAAATCACTCTCACTAGATTGATGCTCATGCTGTTGATCACTGGATTGTCTGGTCCAGACTCGATTATTCACAGACAGTCGACATATAGCTGGAATATTGCTGAGTGCAGTGTTAAAGAACAAACAAACAACATGTGGAGTACAACTTGACCTACTTTCTGTCCCAGATACAGTACACGTTCCAGCACATATTTGACGAGTACACCTCCCAGAAAGCCATCTATGACTACGCGGCCCTACCTCTCGTAGAGGACCTGATACACGGCAAGAATGGTGGGTATATTCTGATTGGCTAGTCTCCCCTCCCAGAGCTTAGGTATTGTTTAGTTGGAGCCCTCTCATTTTACTGGTCATATTTTTTACCCTTACCAGCTCGATGGCTGATAGTGGCCCTAACTCCGCAACAAGTGTTAATAAAATTCCCATTGGGGAATAAAAACAGGGTTTGAACAGGCTTGAAAATGCCATAAATGTCACGTTTTACCCTAAACATCCCCTAAATTTGTTAGTTTTGAAAAAAGCGTGATTTGCACTGAAAAGGCTCTAAGTTTAATAAAAACTTGTCAAGTTGTGATTTTACAGGAAAATAAAACATAAAAAATATGTCATGTATGAGTCAACACTCTTATATATTGAATCAGGTCATTATGGTCACTGGTCATTATTGTGGTATATTAACAATGTCAGCATGGTCAAAACATGTGTAGATTGATGTTCATGCTGTTGATCACTGGATTGTCTGGTCCAGATACGATTAATTTTTCCTTATCCTGACTCATGAGGTAAGAAGCAATTAAGCATGAGTCAGGATAAGTATAAAATATCAATTTTAATAAAAAAAATGACATTTTACAGACCCAGATGCCATATAACTGGAATATTGCTGAGTGCAATTTAATAATAAAATTACATTTACATAAAACTCATTCACTCACTCACTCAAGTTATTTTTTGTGTCAACTCCACAACTATTTTTTCCAGGCCTTCTGTTCACATACGGCATCACATCGTCAGGGAAAACATACACCATGACAGGCAGCCCCCAGGACCAGGGTATTCTGCCAAGATGTCTGGACGTTCTCTTCAACAGCATTGAAGGCTACCAGGCCAAGAAATATGTATGTTGTCTACAAAAAACACAACACTTGCCTAGAACACTTTCAACATATGACACTCAAAAGGAGTTTGAGAGCTGCTGTTTCAGTCAGATTATCATAGACCTGTGAAGATCTCAGTTAGAATTGATCTTCAGCAACCTGAGCTTGATATAAGAGGTGACTAAGGGGATCAGGCCCCGATTTATTGAAACAAACTTAAGTTTTTACTCAAATTTGGACAATTTGAAACAGTTGAGTTTCAAACTCAGTTTCATTTCTAAAACTAAAAAGACAAAACAACTCATGTAACCTATCTACCAAACTCAGATTGTCTACTAAGTTTGAGTTTAACATCGATTTCAATCTATTCTGGGAAATGCCTTTTCTTGTGTTTTTTTCAAGTTTGAGTAAAAACTGTAACTTAAGTCAAAACTCAGACATAAGTTTGTTTCGAGAAATCGGGGCCAGATGGTCATGCTCACTGACTTGGTTGACACAAGTCATCGTACCACAATTGCGTAGATCGATGCTCATGATCTTGATCATTGGATTGTCTGGTCCAGACCACTGTGAAATATAGCTGGAATATTGCTGAGTGCAGCGTTAAACATATATTACTATAAAGTTATAGTGACAGATGAACTGCAGTCGTATAAAAGAACTGGGATTTCCTTAACTTGTTTTGAGTAGTATACATGCTCATCCCGCATAATTGTCATTAAGTTTTATTCTGACCATGTGGCTTATTGGCTATGCATCCCAGACTTTAACAAATTCAAAGACTGCCTGCAGACAAAGGTCACACATTTATCTGTCAGTTTTCAGGGTTGGAATAGTGTGTAACTGATATTCACTTACAACATACTGACCTGACCAGTTGTCAGAAGCTGGTGGACTAGTATATTAAATACAGTATTTGTCTATGTTTTGCATATTTTAGGCTATCTTCAAAGTTCCTTCTTGAAATGAATATATATTCCAGAAATTCCACTCATCAGTTTCCCAAATGTGCTATTCTCACATGAAGTTTGAACAAATGATTCAAAATGTCATTTTATTCTAGCGATCACATATTTTTGTTTCCACATGTAAAGAATAGCTACAGGAGTCAGAAAAGTCTATACATTAGTGGTGGTCTGGATTAATTGAAATAATCGAAGATTGGTCGCAGTGACTAAACGACCAAGCAATCGATCATTTTTCTCATAATCGAACACAAACAATTCTGGAACACTTGTTTCCATTAAGATGGTTTTGTCTGTTACATTTCATGACCACTACAAGCCCGTTCCAAGTCATGGTTGAATTTATCTTCAAGACGCAAAGAAATTAATGTTCCTAACCTACTAGTCATCCTATAAAAAATGTGAAATTTGCCAATGCCTTTTGTGCAATTTGCAAAAACACCAAAGAACTACAGGGTTTTTTCTTTATTTTTTTGTCCATTAACAACAATAATCAGGAAAATTTCATAAATGACGCTAACCAATTATTTTCGATGATTGATCGGTTGTAATGAACCAATCATCAATTATGAGATTTTGACCAATTCCCAGCACTACTATACATATAGTTTTTTTGTGGCAGATGTTCCGGCCAGACAAGATGAACGGATTCGAGGTGTGCACAGAGGCCGATGCCATGATGGAACGCCAGAGGAGAGAGATTCTGCCTGGTCTGACTACACCCAAGACGCCATCTACCCCCAGACACACGTAAGATGCTAATGAATCTGTGCCTATATATGGGTGTGATGCGTGGGTACTTAAGGTTCAAAGAGACCCCTAATGACATATTCTAGACATAGAGGACTGAAATGGATAAAATGGGGTAGCCTAGTGGTTCAAGTGTTCGCTTGTCACTCCGGAGCCATGGGTTCAATTCCCCACATGGGTTCAGTGTGTGAAGCACATTTCTGGTGTCCATCGCCGAAAACGTAAAATCAAAACTCACTCACTCACTCTTTGTAATACTGATCACTGTATTGACTGGCCCAGATTCAATACAGGCCATTGTCATATAATTGGAATTTTAGCTTGTTGTAAGTGGCAACTAATGGGATCGGGCGGACAGACAAGCTGACTGGTTAACACATGTATGTCATTGTATCCCAATAGTGTAGATCGATGCATATCATGATGATTATCTGGTCCAGACTTGATTATTTATTGGTATATAGCTGGAATATTGCTGAGTGCACCGTTAAACAACAAACAAACCAACACACAGATAGGAAGGATAACAATATATGGATGAACAACTTCGTTATAGCTGTGAGAGCGACGTTTCGGTGTAGGTTCTAACACGCTTATCAAGCAAGCGATGACGGTGGTGTTGGAACCTACACCGTAACGTCGCTCTCACAGCTACAAAGAAGTTGTTCATCCATATATTGTTATCCTTCCTTATCGCCTCAACTTCTAAATGCCTCTCAAAGAAGTCAACACACAGATGTTATTATTATTATAGGACATTTATATATAGCGCACATATCCACGCAACTAGTGCATGCTCAAGGTGCTGGTATTTTTATTTCTATTTCTTTTTCCTCGATCGTTGATTGTCAATCTCAACGGCACATCGTATTATCAATCTCAACTCCCTGAGGAGTATACAACGCTTGCTGGCACTAGGCGCACCGGTTATTGTGGCTTTCTCATCTTAACGAGGTTCAGATGTTGTTACTCAGTGGTGTGTGAAGCAACGGTTTTCTTTCCAGTGAGAAGGTTGCATTTGGCGGCGACAGTGGTCGGAACCGAGACCCGTCCAAAGTTGGCAACATAGAACAAGACAATAACTACGGTGTGTTTGTCTCCTACATCGAGATCTACAACAACTTTGTCTACGACCTACTTGAGGAACTGCCATACGACCCAATCACAGGCTATAAGTAAGTGTGCAAGTTTTAAGTTTGTTAAATGATATGAATACATGTTTTAAATCGGTGTAAATACTGGACTGAATGCAGATGAATTTCCATCTGAATGTTTTTATTGCATCTCTAAGTGAACCTACAGTGGATTCAGATTCCTTGGACACCTTGTTGACAGTGTAAAAGGGAATGTGATACAGTGCAATGCAGTGATGACTTAGCATAAAATCACTGCCAAACTTTTCTTTTGTTTGTAAACAAACATTCATATTGCAAATCTAGTCAGAGCTTCGATGACAGCAACCGCACAACCTATGTAACCTAAGGGTCACTACACAAATTGAAATAGTGTTCCACGTTTTAGGATGTTTTCTCAGTGAAAGTAGGGGCGGTGGGGTAGCCTAGTGGTCAAAGCGTTAGGATGTTTTCAAAATAGGGGCAGTCGTCCGCACCGAAGACCCGGGTTCGATTCCCCACATGGGTACAATGTGTGAAGCCCATTTCTGGTGTCCCCCGCCGTGATATTGCTGGAATATTGCTAAAAGTGGTGTAAAAAATACACTCACTCACTCAGTGAAAGTAAACCATTCTGTCTGTCAATTAGTTGTGTAAACTCATCAAAAATGAAAGCATCAAGAAATATACACACTATTTTGATTGGACAGTGCAAGATGCAGAGCTACAGATAACTGTTTGGGTCATTGAGTTATGTACTCACTTGTGTTCATCTCAATCGGGTATCCTAATTTTTCTTTGAGTAACCAAATAAATTGTACTCACCTCATTCAAACTCAATTGGGTATTTTGCCATTTTCAATTACATTTGAAAATATAGTAAAGTTTAAATGTTAATGTTTGTTATTTATGTTTAATCTGTAATATGAGAAATGATAAGAAAGACTGCAAGTTGTCAAGTTCATGTCCCGAAATAGAACATTTCAGTATACTTCAGTTATTTTATCTATCCACTGGTACGCAAGCTAAGATTTGACATTTTTGTGTGTACGCATGTAAGATGACATTTATTGAGTATTTACAAAAATTCAAGCTGGATGGTCTGATTGTGTTTTATGAACACTGATGGTGGTGATATACTCATTTTATCCTCCTCTCCCCAATGCAAGGGAGATAACTGGCTGTAAGAGCTCAGTTTCCAGTTGTGCTGAACTTGGCTATTGTTTCTTGGCTCAATTGTAGGGGCTGTTAAAGGCACTATATCACACCACACTTCTCTCAAAACATATAATTTATCTCTCTTAATAATACTATCAGCCCTCAGTAGGGCTACAGATAGGGGGCGTACAGGCGTAATGTACGCCTCAAAATCAATTAAATACGACATAATATAAGATTTCAAGCGTATCGTGTACGCACATAAATACCTTCGTACGTCTAACATTTAATTTCTGTGCGTATCGTGCAAATGGAAAGCTATTTCGTGTTCAGTTTCTTTTGCGAAACACGATTTGACACATAAGGAAACCCCGACAGTAGGAATCCCTTGCGTTGCCATGCAACGATATGCGTCACTATTTTTTGATTGGCTAAAAACTACACTGTTCCTATTTATATCCAGTCGGACCTGACATTTTGCGCATCACACGGTCGCTCAGTTATTTCTCACGCGTCTTCAAATACAAATACATGGTTGGAAAAAGTGGACGATGAATCGTCCAGACAAACCACATCAACTCGCTCACACAAAAACATTTCGGTACTCCTTCAAAATTCTCAGTACACCTCCACTTGCAATATGATGTGCAAGTACACTCACACCCCCAAAAGTTATCTGGAGCCCTGCCTCAGGGAAGCTACCATATAATTTATTCCAAAACAATTACGTATATATAGATTACAATATAAAATTAAAAAGTTTGAATTAATTAGTGCAATGTTGCATTAGACTGACTCTCCAACCCTCTACCGGCCGAACATTATTTCAATTGAACCCCATAGAGTTATGTCCCTTGGAGCTCTCTTTACGAATATCCTACGCACAACTTGTGATTGCAACCTGTTCGACAAGCACCGACAGCACCGCATACAACAGTTTTTGATGTATGGAGCAGTTGTTTACATTCCATATATAGCAAGTGTTCTCTGTTTGGATGCTGTTCGCCTCAGAGTTTCAATTACCAATATCAGGCAAGTTGTAAGGAATAATAAGTCCTTTATTGCATCAGTAGGAAGCTAGAGTGAGTGCATATGCCCCAATATATATAATATCCGCCAGAGTATTGTCGAAAATGTGTGACATTGTGCCTTTAAGGGTTCTCTCCCTTCCACCGCCATATAGCTGGAATATTGCTGAGTGGGGCGTAAAACTAAAACTAGATAAAAAACTCTCCCTTCCATGTCCCTCCCAATGTCAGTCAGATTCCACCTCTCATGTTGCTAGTATATTGAACTCAAAATGGTTTTCAGACCACCACAGTCAAAGATTCTGCGTACAGACGTGACCGAGAATATGTACGTCCACAACTGTGTGGAGGTCGAGGTGAAGAGCCCAGAAGATGCGTTTGAAATCCTGTACAAAGGTAGGTTCTGGTAAAACACTATCTTGTATAATATGCGAGTTGTGCGAGTTTAATGTTAAACTTGTGGGTGCAAGATGTACTATGGCTGACGTCACTGAAGATTTCATTTTTTTTTGGTTTTGCATGGGGATCACAAACCACCCATAGCCATGTAATATCCTTAATATGCTATAGGGGTTGTATGTGTCCATCACCCGTAAGAAATATATATATACATGAGACACAGGGGTGGAATTAACTTTAAAATTGCTAGTGTACTCCGGTACAGTGTCACATGTAAAATCACTTGCCCTGATAATTTTTCCACTTTGCCGTCCGTTTTCTTGTTGATTTTTTAAGCAAACAACATAATTAACATGGGAAAGTCAACTGGACACCGGTACAGTGTGATTTACAAATTTGCTTGCCCGACAGAAAAAAACACTGGACTCGGATGTCGGGCAATGGGTTATTTCCACCTCTGAGACATGACAATCAAGGATGAAACAAATAGTTCATTTTCACAAATTTGGGCGTCTGTGGGAGTCTCAGTAAAATATTGTTTGGGTCACAAGTTTTATAATGAGACATCCTGGGATACATCTGTACCAACAGCAAAGAAACCAAAGTTTTTTGTGATGCCGTTTGCAGGACTCAGTGTTTTTAGAATGTTTGAGTAATTATAATTACGCTCATTAGGGGTTTTACAGTTTTGGAGGTGGCGGGATGGGGGGTGTATTCAGTTCATGTTTACTCTGATGTCATGCACCAAACAGGGAGACAAGGGACAATTAACTATTGTATGTTGACTGTGATACACAAAGTATGGAACAAGAAGATCAGTGTGGATCTGTATGTGATGTTTCAGGTCAGAAGCGAAGGAAGGTGGCACACACTGCCCTGAATGCCGAGTCTAGTCGTAGCCACAGTGTGTTCAACATCCGACTTGTGCAGGCGCCAGGTCGACCCAAGAGGAGGGGATATTCTTCAGGTAAAGTCCAAACCCGCAAAACAAGTGTGCTTTTCATTTCATTGATTGCCCTAGTCAGTAGCTGCTGCCCCAATTATTGTGTACTTTTCCTCAATGTGCACCATAGTCTCTATGACCATCTTGGTGTTGTCCCCATACAGCCTTGTGCTTCACTGTAGATTAACCAGTCGTTTTAGGAAAGAAAATCAGTAGCAGACGTGACCAGTGTTGTCCCATTTCAGCATAGGGCTGGTAGTGACTGGTAGGAAGTGAAAACTGTGCAACATTTACGCTGTTCCTGTGGTTCCTGACTAGTAAAAAGTCCTCAGGACTGCTAAATGATAAGTTTGCAGTGGTCCTGGTGGCCAGTGAATTTTGTGTAATTCATAGCTTTCGGCCGTGGGAGCCATGCCAGTTAAAGCTTATCAGAGGGGTACACAAAGTCCACAGTCTAGACTACCAGTTGTCCGACTTCCATTTTTGTGGAAGCTGCGGTGGCTGAGCGGGCCAGGCGTCTGACTTTGTGTGCTGGTGATTAGGTGCCTGACTCTGAGGGTGAGGGTTCAAATCCCGGATGGGACTCAAGCCAAAAAAAGTACTAGAATCTGTATTTTACCGAGAAAGTATAATCCCAAATATAACATATGTTACATTTGACCACTTTCTGAAATGGCAGTGTGTATATCATAGTGAATTTTGTATTGATAGTTAAGTAAATCTATGAATGTTATTTTGGATGAGTGAACACTAATTATTGTTCACTCAATGGTCCTGTGGTCTGGTGGGAAATTTTGAAAGGTTTCTTTCCCTGTGAAAAACATTTTTGTAAACATAGATGTTGGAAACTAGCTTTAATCCAAGATGTATTTGCTTTTGGTGCACCCTTGTTACTCTCAGTATGTTTATGTAAGCATGCATTCTGTTGATGTATACCTAGTTGTGTGGGACAGGCTAGGTTACATGTGATAAGTCACCACCTGTGAAGATCTGGGTTAGAATTGGTCTTCAGCAACCCATGCTTGTTGTAAGAGGCAGCTAATGTTGATCGATGCTCATGAAGCCAATCACTGAATTGTCTGGTCCAGACCCAATTATTTAAAGACCACTGCCATGTGGCTGGAAAATTGTTGAGTGCGGCATTAACAAACACACAAACAAACAACCATGTAAGTCCCTGTCTCCCCATCACCTTTGCAGGACCCAGAATACATTGTAGTGAGTCAGCTGTCGCTGGTCGACCTGGCGGGGAGTGAGAGAACAAACAGGACGAAGAACTCCGGGGAGAGACTCAAGGAAGCAGGTACATCTTGAAGAACATCTTGGTTTGAGGTCTGACTTGATAGCACCTCAAATACAAACATTCTTTTAAAATAGCCACATGTTCTGAAAACACTTTCAATACGGCCTTATATCTTGAAAAGGCTTTGAGAAAAGACATGCCTTTGAAATTCCTTCAGTGTTCCTGATCAACCACTTATTCAGGCTGGGAGGGTATTGATGTGGGGAGTAATGGAGCAGTGTAATACAAAATTCATCGACTCACCATTGTTTTGTGTCAGTATCTGCCCAAAATTGTGTACAAGTATTAAATACATCTTCAATGAATGGTTTCTTTTCATTTGCACACATGTGTAGCTAAGGTTTGTATGGCTTCCTATGCTAGTGTAATATGTTTCCAGTGTCTACTTTCCTTGTTTCCAGGGAACATCAACCAAAGTTTAATGGTTCTCAGGAACTGTATTGAAGCCCTCAGGGAGAATCAGACAAACGGGACGAGTAAGGTATGTATTCAGATAAAAATATATTTGTTTTCCTGATTTTGAAAGTACCCAGGTGCAATTGTGCCAGCAAGAAGAATTGCGAGTGATCAATCGTCTAGCAGTTCAAATGTTTGACCCTTTTCTGTTCATAGTGATTATAAATTGCCAGGCTTATTTTAGAGTCCTCTGGTGCATTCAACTTAGCCAAATTTGTTTATCATATATTTCAGGTAAAGCAAAACTATAATCTGAATTATCCATGAAAGTTTATTTCCTGTTTAGTGCTATCGACTGTCACGAAAGGTGGGTTGGGTTGGGTGGGGGGAGGCAAATGTTGGCAATGCGCTTTTGAAAGTATGTATGATGTATTTGTCATGTTGGCCGTTGGCCTATTAAAGAAATAAACTATTATGTGCAGCATTAAACAACAGAAAAACAAGCGCTGTACAGCATGTTGTGTATTTTAGATGGTGCCCTACAGGGACTCGAAAGTGACCCACCTGTTCAAGAACTACTTTGATGGGGAAGGCAAGGTGCGGATGGTGGTCTGTGTCAACCCCAAGGCTGAGGAATACGACGAAACAATAGTAAGCCTGTAGTAATCTTACATAAAACTTTCAACTTGTTGCTCTAAAGAACCAGGGTCGATTCCCTGCATGTGTCACCTGTGATTGAGAATATTATTGAGGCAATGTTGCTGATAATAGTTAAAATCTCTAACTTACTTTATTCAGGGTTCACACAGGCTTGAAAAGCCATGAAATTTGGACATTTTACCCTAAAACACACCTAAATTCGTTTTACCCTTGATAAGGCCCTAGTCCTAAAATTCCCTATATTTAGCCAAACCTGTGAAGTTATGATTTAACAGGAAACTTATTCATTATAATATTACCTTGCAATGACAGTGGGTGTTAATTCATTATGAGTTATTTCCCTTTGATGGTCGGTCCCACATTTGACCAACCTTGTGTGTATTCAATAGGGGTGACGACTGAGGGTGAAACAACTATAGCGATAGTGTTAGAGAAGCACGTTCACTGACAAAGTTATTTATTCATTAACCTGTGCTGTGCCGTCTCCATCCGTTCTCGAACACCTGGCTGTCCCTTTCTCTGCACTCCTCCCTCGTAACAAATAGTGAACTGTGTCAATATTTTAATGATAGATTGTTAAACAACTTTTTTTATTTTTAGGACAAAAATTCTGCAAAAACCTCACAGAGTGGGTATGATGTTTTGATTATGATCAGCGTTTCATTGAGTATTTTATGTTTATTAGTTTTCGAGTTAGATTGCAATTCATCTGTCCGCTTTTGAGCCAAACGGACTATAGTATGTCTGCTTGAAACGTCCTGTGATCAATGTTAGCACATTTAACTTTGGTTTGTTCTAACAGCATGTTATGAAGTTTGCGGAGATGACTCAGGAAGTGATGGTTACTAGGCAACAGCAGGTTCAGTTCAGCGTCCGGAACCAGCAGCTCAAGGAAGCCATGGCAGAAGCAGAAGCAACTAAAAGTAAAAGTAAGAAAAAAGCCAAATATCAACTGGAGTGAAAGTCACGTATCCTTTTAGTCTGTACATTCCTCCCCATGTTTGTCCAGGTTCTCATCCATGCTTTTTTCAGTGCTGGAATTTGTTTGGTTGTTTCAACATAGCTATGACCTGCATCAGTTTGGGTGTTCTTTCATTAATGGATGCCATTGTACACTGAAACTGAGATAATGTTTAAAATGGCGTCATGGGTACCACATGGGTACAATATGTGAAGTCCATTTCTGGTGTCCCCTGCTGGAATATTGCTGGAATATTGCTGAAAGCGGCGTAAAACCATACTCAGTCACTCACTCACTCAGACTTTTCAATTCGCGCTTGTTTGTTTTTTGAAAGTGGTAAAGCTGTGTTTGTTGCAGTTTCCCCTCCAGAAGAAAAGATTATAATGATGGATCTTCATCCAACCTATTCTACACAGAACGTGTAATTTTTTCCTTACAGAGGTAGAGGCTGCCCCCATGCCTACCCTCGATTACTGTCTTGGACCCTCGTTCCCACCTTCAGAGGTAGGTGTCACTGATGCTACCATGGTTACATGCCTTTTGTTCAGCTATTCATCAACTAATTTTAATAAGCTCTGTGCATATAGGTGTGGTTTACTTTCTCAAAACCTATTGCATAACTATCCCTAAATCATTGGACAATTACCTGCCGTGTGATTGCATATGTAAACACAAGATAACAAATCTTTGGCGCTAGATCATGATCCAAGGAGGGATTCACTCAGGCTTCATACACATACGTGGTTCATATAGTCACTGTGGCAAATAGCGATGTCTAACACTTCACTTATCTTAGATAACATTTGATTAAGCGTTTTTGCTAACATGGTATTTAATTTATGGTATTTAATGAAAAACCTGCTTGGCTAATAACCTACTTTTCAGAGTTTTTCATTATTTTAAAGTTGCTGAAACAGATTGCATTCGCCATCACCCGACAGTCAGTATTTGTTTCTTTACTATGACACCTGTGTATTTCAGCTGCTACATGCGGGAGATGACAAGACCCTGTTCACCATGGACTGTTTCCTGGAGGAGCGGTACAAACGTCGACACACTCTCATCCTGGACCTCACGCGCAGGGGTAAGTCACAGACTCACGTTTACGACGAAGTCACATCGTGAAGGTCAGAGTTAAAATGAACCTTCAGTAACCCATGCTTGTCGTAAGAGGCGACTAACGGGATTGGGTGGTCAGGCTCGCTGACTTGGTTGACACATGTCATCGGTACCCAGTTGCGCAGGTGTAGTGGTTAGAGCGTCAGCCTGGAGAGCGGAAGGTCGCGGGTTTGATCCCCGACCGCGTCATACCAAAAGACGTTAAAATATGGTACTTGTTGGTCCCTGCCTGGCGCTCGTCATTAATGGGTACAACAAGAACTGGTCGGCTCGGAGTCAGTATAATGTGTCTGAGTGAGGTATTCATGCTTCACAGCGGCATGGTATCTCAGTGGGCTAGCACTATAAAACCAGCTTAAGTCTGGGCTAGTACAAGCAGCCACACATACACATGCACATGCATGCACGTCGTCATATGAGCGAAATATTCTCAAGCACGACGTTAAACCCAATTTCACCTCACCTCACCAATTGCGCAGATCAATGCTCATGCTGTTGATCACTGGATTGTCTAGTCCAGACTCGATTATTTACAGACTGTCCCCATATAGCAGGAATATTGCTGAGTGCGGCGTAAAACTTAACTCAGCTCACTTTGGACGAAGTCAGTTTGTTCCCAGACTTTTAAGTGGTTTCATGCCTCATTTCTCTCTTCACACCCTTTGGTTTTCTTTTGTACGAAAAAACAAAATTTGATGTACTTGTTGACTATGTTCTCTGGCTTCTGTAAATTGTGATCTCTATCCAGTTTTCATGTCCTTTGTCAAGTGCAATGCTCATGCTATCGACCGCTATATTGTCACCTGTGATGCTCACTGGCTTTGTTGATTTTACATTCATCCTAGCTAGTTCATGTAGATTGTTGCTTTTGATGTCAATCACTGGATTATTTGGCCCAGAATCAGTTAATTACTGACTACTGTCCTGCAGATAGAATAACGCTGAGTGTTGTGTTCTTGACTGGCGTTTATCAACTGTTTACAGGGTTTTACAGACTTATAAAAATGGGGAGTCATGGTGACTCACAATATTTATTATTGGGAGTCATTTTCAATATTTGGGAATCATGAAACTTTTAATATTTCTTCGTGTTAATCATTCTCAGTATGTAACTGTATGTCACACCACCAAATGACACAACAGCATTGTTCAATTCAATGGAACAATCTGACAGCTCTGTTATAGTCAAACTATCATCGCACAATATCATATTTTGCTTATCAAATCGATTTTATTGAACTGAATTGTGAGGGCCACCCATAAAACTTGCGTCAAGCTTGACTCGTATGATAATATTTTGAGAGTTGTTTCGAAAATTGTTTCGTCAAATACGCAGGAATCATGCGTCATTGGTGAATAATGCAGCTAGTGATAAACAACAAACATCCAAACAACACTGGTATCCCAAATGGAGGTAACATACTGTGTATAGGAAACTAAATGTCCTCTGATGTGTGTGTGTAGAGGACGACTTCCGTGCGGACTTGGTGGAGATGGAGCGTGAGCACACGGAGATGCAGACCAAGCTTGAGGAGCTGGAGGCGATGATGACGAAGAAGGACCGCGAACTTCAGAAGCTGGAGACCAAGAACCGACAGCTGGAGAAGAAGAACACCGACCTGACCCGTCGGAACCAGGACCTGGAACGGGAGTCCCAGACTCTTGGACTCAAGGTCAGAACTCACCTGATTACATAACTATTAGTAGTATTTACTGGACTAGTGGACAGAGCATCTGCTTGAAAAACTGAAGCTTGGCGGTATGAGCCCAGGCTTGTCATACCCAAAGATGTTGAAGATGTTACTTTTTGATACCCTGTCTTGCACTGGCCAAACAAACTGGAATGTCTGTCAGGAAAAGCTTGTGCTTTCTCAGGCGTAAGCAAACTTGCACTCTCTGTCAGGGATAAAACAAGCTTGTGCTCTCTGTCAGGTATAAAACAAGCTTGTGCTCTCTGTCAGGTATAAAACAAGCTCTGGCTCTCTGTCAGGTATAAAACAAGCTCTGGCTCTCTGTCAGGTATACAGAGATGAGAATTTTCTGCAGAATTCCGGAAATTTCATAAGGCGGGTCATTTTTGTGAATAGTCTAAATTCGTTGACATTTGTATGAATGGAATTCAGCAGATTTAACGTTTTTTAATGGTTGCTGTGTTCATGATATCATTTCTGTACCAGTTTTAAAGGTCTAAAATGCCTAAATATCAGGAGTTTCGGCTAGTTTTCAGAGTTTTCTCAAAACTTCATTCACATCCCTGGGTATAAAACAAGCCCTGGCTCTCTGTCAGGTATAAAACAAGCTCTGGCTCTCTGTAAAAGGATAATATGACTTCTGTTCCCAGTCAGGTATAACAGGATTGTTTGGCTATTATTTTTACACTGTGGCAAAGCATATCAGTTTGTTAGTACATAAACCAGCATTAGTCCACACTACTACAGGCAGCCAAACACCTGCATGCATGTCGCTGTTAAGTGTAATAGCCTCGAACCCTACTTCACCTCACCTAGATCCGTCCCTCAGTGGGTTGATGTGTGTCTGTGATGTTGTTTCAGCTGCAAGACAAGAACTGGAAGATACAGGTGGAGAAGACAGAGAAGGAGAAGATGAAGAACGACTTCCGCACCCGTCTCGACATGCACAGCCAGCAGTGGGAGAAGAACATGGTGAGTGGGAATGGACTGGAGCGTGCTTCCTCTTGGGAGTCCCTGTAGTTTTTGTTTGTTCTTTCAGGCATTTTTTAAAATATTGCAGCTTTGTGTGGGGTCTGCTGTTGGACATTCTCCTGCCTTTACTGAATTCATCGTGAAATTTCATATGCAGGAAAGTGTTCAATTTCATGTACTACATTTTTATCGTCAGACACATTCTACATCTTGGCAACAGTGGATCTCTAAAACATTATTGAATTCTGATCGAATTTGACCATGGTCGTCAAAGTGGTCATCTTGAAAATGGCATCATTTTTTAGCAGATGTGATGATATGTCATCATATGGGTTAGTATGTGATAAGCGAAATAACAGCTTTTTTATCTTTTTTGATGAAGCTACTGTCTGAAAAATTTCATGCACAAACTCACTCTCTCATTCCAGGAGAAAGAGAGAAGGAAGGTTGCAGTGCAGGCTGGAGCAGAGATCCAGGAGAGAGATCGCAAACTGAAGATGTTGGAGAACATAGTCAACCAGAACAGTAAACCCATGGTAACGCCTCGTCGCCCGGCGCCCAAACCCCGCACTTACACCACACCCGGTTACATCACACCAGCCCGGTCAGACACGGACGTATCACGGGTTGGTGTGGGAGGCACTGGACGGATGACCAGAGCCACAGCGGGTGGCGTTGGGTCAGCCAAGTCCATGTATAATCTCAACCATGTGTCTTCTACAACCAAACCAGTGAGTAGTGCTTCCATTCAAAATACATAAATTATGTTGTTAATATTTATAATACACCAAATCCAAGGCATGCTAAAGCACTTCATTATTACCCATAGCAATGGATCAGTGTTCACTTGATTTTCATTCTCAGCTCCTTGGGGAGTATACAAACCCAGCAGCTTGTGAGGTACAGTCACATAAGCATCTCTTACTGGGTACCCATTCACTGCTGGGTGCATAGATGCAAATATTTAACAAAGACATTTGGCTAAAGAGACACCAGTTGTGGTACATGCGCTTCTGTATTTGTCTACCCGTGAAGATCCGGGTTAGAAACTTGATCTTTAGTAACCCATGCTTGTCGTAAGAGGCGACTAACGGGATTGGGTGGTCAGACTTGCAGACACATGTCATCGGATCCCAATTACGCAGATCAATGCTCATGCTGTTGATCACTGGATTGTCTGGTCCAGACACGATTATCTACTAGGGCTGGGACGATGCACTATGTCACGATACAAATTGTATACATATCGCGATATTTTACCTGCGATACGATATGTATCACAATACATACACCTTGAAAGAATGACATGGTATCAAGATTTAAAATGATATATTTCAAGGTATTTGTGTATAACAAAAACACTATTGTAATAAACAAATAAGTAACTCCATCATACTTGCGTATTTTTCTCTAAATTAGTACTGTAACATGTTTAAGATAATACTGTTTTGTATCCATACACCAGTCGACGATACAGCATCAGTGAATCGTCTCAGCCCTATTATTTACAGACCTCTGCAATATAGCTGGAATATTGCTGAGTGCGGGGTAAAACTAAACTCACTCACTCACTCAGTGTTAGTCAAGAATGTAATTGAATCAAGGCACTTAATGTTGTCCCCAATGCTTGTCACTACTGTTGCTTAACTTCACCTGATTTTTCACCCAATGTGCAGTATCCATAAGCGTGTGCCACCATATTCTCAGGCAAAGGTGACCCGTGAAGATCCGGGATAGAATAGGTCTTCAGCAACCCATGTGCTTGTCATAAAAGGCGACTATCCTTGTCGTAAGAGGCGACTAACGGGATCGGGTGGTCAGTTTCACTGACTTGGTTGACACATGTCATCGGTTCCCAATTGCACAGATCGATGCTCATGCTGTTGATCACTGGATTGTCTGGTCCAGACTCGATTATTTACAGACCACCGCCATATAGCTGGGATATTGCGGAGTGCGGCGTAAAACTAAACTCTCAGGCAAAGGTAGTCCAGTCATTTTATGCCATAATTTGCTTTGCAGAGTTGCTTCCCTTAGGCATACGAGTTTGTTTTTGGTGTTCTATGTATTTTGATGTTTCCCCAGAAGTAAACACAATTGTCTCTTTGTTTCTACAGCGGCCACCGGCATACAACACACGGAATCATCGTAGATCTAAGTCGTCTTCTAATGCAGAAGTGTGGTTGGATCACAGACCTAATGGAGATGTTGAGATGGGTAAGTCCGCCTGCGAAATTGTGGACCAATGTCCCTTAGCCTTTGACTTCTGGGTTGGATTCTTGGTCTGAAACCACCATATTCATGAGGGTGGGTGTTACCTGTATCAGCTAGAGATTCATTACACAGACAGCAAGTCGTGATGTAACTTTCCAATCCCATCTGGGAAGAATGTCTGCTACGAGAGCGAAAGATTGGTAGTTGCAGCCCTAGACATGTCTTATTGAAAGACATTAAAATATGGTTATCCTACTGTGAGCTTAGTATTAGGAGCTAAACAAAGAATATTCAGTACAAAGTCAGTAAAATGTCCAGTAAAATCCAGTTGGATTAGTAGAAGCAGCCACATGCATGTACACTACTATAAGAGTGCAATAATCATTAAACCCCATTTCACCTACTGGTATCTGTACCTGGGACACTAACCACCTCCGTGGTGTAGTGGTAAGAGCGTCCGCCCGGAGAGCGGAAGGTCGCGGGTTCGATCCCCGACCGCGTCCTACCAAAAGACGTTAAAATATGGTACTTGTTAGTCCCTGCCTGGCTCTCGACATTAATGGGTACAACAAGGACTTGTCGGCTAAGAGTCAGTATAATGTGTCTGAGTGGGGTATTCATGGTTCACTGCGGCATGGTATCTCAGTGGGCTAGCACTATAAAACCAGCTTAAGTCTGGGCTAGTGCAAGCAGCCACACATACACATGCATGCACGTCTTCATATGAGCGAAATATTCTCAAGCACGACGTTAAACCCAATTTCACCTCACCTCACCTCACCTCACCTCACCTAGGACACTGGTCAAGGCAGGAATATAAACCATGCCTGCAATCACTGCTTCTGTCTTCCAGATTCGGTGCTTCAACCAAAGATGGGGAAGAAGAGGTCGGTGTCCAAGCTGGAGTTGAAGGACACAAAGGAGGCCTCCAAATATGTGCTGACCACTCACGAGATGGACTCGGAGGGAGAGATGGCCACGAAGCTGGTCAAGGTGGGGCATCTCAAACATTCAGTCTACATAGACATAAAAAAACAGAACTTGGTGATATTGTAACACACAAATGGCAAGAGGACATTTTCTTGAGTTTATCAACTTTTGACAGGATAAATGGAAAAATATCCTTGCTACATTTAGGATGATTATTGGTTAGCTTCCATGAAATTTTAACTTTATTCTCAGAGAAGTGTGTATTTACTGTTGTTTTCCAGCTACATTCATGGTTGACCCATGAAGATCTGGGTTAGAATTGGTCTTCAGCAACCCATGCATGTTGTTAGAGACGACTAACAGGATCGGGTGGTCAGGCTCGCTGGCTTGGTTGACACATGTCATCGCATCCCAGTTGCTGGGATCGATGCTCATACTGTTGATCACTGGATTGTCTTGTCCAGACTTGACTTTTTACAGACTGATGTCATATAGCTGGAATATTGCTGTGTGTGGTGTTTATCATCCAAAACTGTGTTCCACGGGAGATATTGCTTGTGTGAGATCAAACAATATCTCCTAGGAGATATCGTGTTGACAACAGATTTTGTACAATGCCCTGACAATGCTATGACGTCATGAACTTGATGACATCACAATGCTATGACATCGCTGCCCTGCAAGTCTAATGGCAGTACCATGTTCAGAGATGTACATTTAGGAGATTTACATCATGTGTTGGCTAACGCCGTCAGTTCCAAATGAATTCCTGTGCTTCAAATGCTCAATAACACCCGGAAATTGGCCAGCACATGATGTTTATCGACATTGTAAACACAAAAGTAAACCAACAGGCCCAAATGGGTTTTGCTCTCTGCTCTCATTGACACTGAGTACGGGTACAGCAGGGAAGTGTCATCAGCTGACCGTTACAGTTGGTTCCCATGGTAGCATCTGGAACTGCCCATTTGTGACATCATTCCGACTTTACGTCATAATATGATTTGAATGACGTCACCACTGCTGACAACGCAACAATACAATTGTGTGCAATATTTGTACGTATCAATATGCAGTGAATAGTCTTGCAATCTCCGGGAATAGAATACCATTTGATCATGTTTTTCAACCAATCACATTAAAGAACACGGTGACTTTTGGTTTACAATTTTCACTGAAAACTAAAGAAGAGTAATTTTTTATGATGAATATAATCTCTTGTGTCTTTTGATATCAAATATATCAACACTCGTTGATAAAAGTAACAATATCCTTGGCAAGCCTCGGACATTTGCAGCTTTATCAACTCGTGATATATTTCATATCAAAAGACACGTGGGTGAGATTCTCTATTATGCAATAAAAAGACAAGCAACATTCCAGAGGTCCTCACATCGGTTGTTACAATCAGAGGTCCTCACATCGGTTGTTACAATCAGAGGTCATCACATCGGTTGTTACAATCAGAGGTCATCACATCGGTTGTTACAATCAGAGGTCATCACATCGGTTGTTACAATTAGAGGTCTCTATTGTGATGTGAAACCTCTGAATAGAGTCTTTCCCAATTTCTTTATGGAATGCTAACATACTGTCTGTTTTCAGGGTACGGTGATGCCAACTGCCGGAGGAGGTACGGCTGTTGTGTTTAATGATGTTGAGACCTTGCGTCACAGCGCCCCGGGGACAAGGAAGAGGAGGAGTTCGTGTCCACAACCACAGGACTTTGATGGGGATTGGACGGACACAGAAACACGGTGCAATATTGCCCTTGAAGGACATGGAAAGTAAGTCATGAACCGTTTGGTGTGGTCCTTCTACTTATACAAATATCTCACAGGATCGAAGAGGCCTTGAAATTGAGAGTCTGGTATTCCAGGGCAATGTGCATTGAAGGCCCTTCTTTTGGACATTGTTACAAAATATGCGAAACTTTAAAATTTCAGTTGTCCGATGTGTTCCAAGGGATAAAAAGTAGACTTTGTTCTTTTCAAAAGATGCTTGTTTTGGACTCATAACCTCGTAGCTTCTAACCCACTCCACTCGTGAAGGTCTGGGTTAGAATATTGATCTTCAGTAACCCATGCTTGTTGAACGAGGAGACTAACGGGATCGGGTGGTCAGGCTCGCTCAGAGCTCCAGATAAGATTTAGCTCATGTGGGTACTGTACCCACTGTATTGTTTTGGAGTGGGTATTATGAATTTTGAGTGGGTATTTCATTTTCCGTTACCCACTGCTTTCAAATATGTGCGTATTTCACATATTTCACGTATTTCAGTCATTTTACTCACTTAAGTATTATGTCATTCTGTAAGTTTACTAAGCAGGTATGTTCTGCCTTAAGTCATACTGAAGCAAAACCGACTTAAATATAATGGAAATGATTTCATAAAAAATCACTCATGCTATACTGACAGTACAACTTGATAGCAATCGATGTCTTTTTCATTTCGCAAGCAATTTTTATAAATATATTCCGTACGCATTTGTTTTAATCATTTTGCGTATCTGACATTTTAAATGCGTAATTGGTACGCAACAATTATTTTTTAATGTGTAATTGGAAATTTTCTATGCGTATTTTACCCGGATACGCAGCTTATCTGGTCCTCTGCTCGCTGACTTGGTTGACACATGTCGATGGTTCCCAATTACGCAGTTCGATGCTAATGCAGTTGATTACTGGATTACCGAAAACTAAGCTCACTCACTCACTCACTCTAAACCACTCAGCCACTGCTGCTTACACAGTAATGTAAATCTGAGTGGGTTACTTCACTGAGATATTGTAATCCCAAACACGACATGATACATCTAAGGTATTCCTAATAAATCTTTCCCTGTTTCAGGCGAAGCAAAGCGTCGGCAGTGTGATAACAGCTTCCTGTGTAATGTGTTGTTGCCCGTGGACTGTGAGAGGCCCAGTTGGGGTGGACAAATATTGCCTGCCTCAGTTTCAGGCACAGGGCTGTGAAGTGGACACATGGGATGGTTTCATCTGAGAACAAATGAAAATGTGCTTAGAAACCGACACAACTCATTGTGTCGACATGTGTTAGTTTTAGAATGTTACAACATTGTGTTTGGGTGAAAGTGTTACATTCTAGTAGCAGGGCTTCCTGGTACTTTTAGATGGGTAATCCCCTATTTCAGTCTGACAATAATTTATCTGTGTCTAATTAAGGTAGGCTATGACTGACCACAAACAGATAACTAATAATAAATTTGTGTACAATAATTCAAAAGACCTGTTAACAATTGTGTTTTGTTACCCAATCAAGGTTAAATTTCTTTTTCTCAAATATTTCACAAAGCGATCTTCTTGCTATAACTGTTGTAAGTATATCTTAATACTGGGTGTTATGGTCGTGTTTCTGCTGGGATTGCTTTGTTTAAAAGGCCTCCACTTAAAATTATTGTCATTTGTTGACTTGGTCTAGAAGAAGCATTGGCTGTCCAGCTTAAAATATGTTAATTAAAGGTTGACAGAATAGGTCCATGAAACATGTCTTGTCCCAACTTAATTGACAACCATGATGCAATTTTTTAAGAACAAACAAACAAGGGGCGATGGGGTAGCCTAATGGTTAAAGCGTTTGCTCTTCATGCCACAGTCCTGGTTCAATTCCCCATGTGGGTACATTATGTGAATCCCATTTCTGGTATCCCCTGCTGTGATGTTGCTGGAATTTTGAAAAAAGCAACGTAAAACCCAACTCACTCACTCAATTTAAATCAAATGCCCCTTGTGCAATTATTCATCTAATATATGTATTAATTCTGTTCCCTAACATCATAATGAGACAGACATTTCCAATTTTCTTGCTGATTCTGAAATAACCGGTCCTTGTTGATATTTGCTGGTATTTGTCCAGTGGGCCAGCATATTTGTAACACCCATTGAAGTACCAGGATGCTGCAGCTACACATGCATGTACAGTGACATATCAGTTTTAGTGATGATTACATCTAGTGTGTATATGAGAATAATCATGTATAATCATGTGTATAAGTCCGTCTTTCATACTTGCATAGTTGATTGTAGTAGTTTCAGATAGCACTTCTCGATCATTTCCAGGGTTAGTAGCTCTTCTCATAGTCAGGTGAATCCTTTGTTCTAACAGCCTAAGTCCGGTGAAGGTCTGGGTTAGAATTGGTCTTCAGTAACCCACGCTTGTCGTAAGAGGCGACTAACGGGATCGGGCGGTCCAGCTTGCTGACTGTGTTGACACATGTCATCGTATCCCAGTTGCGTAGATCGATGTTCATGCTGTTGATCACTGGATTGTCTGGTCCAGACTCCATTATTTACAAACCGCCTCCATATAGCTGGAATATTGCTGAGTCCGGCGTAGAACTTAACTCACTCACTCATACTAACAGCCTAAGGAATCATGTGGGCAAATGGGTGATGAATTCTGCTGAGAGTTGAGACACCAGTTGTCTATGATTATGGGTTCGAATCCCGGTCCACCCTGATTGTGTTTCTAGGTTTGTCAGCACCTACCTCCCCTTTGGTTCTGGGTTTCACCATAATTATAAATATTTGAGACCTGCATCACTTCTTGTTTTCCTCTAACCAAGCTAGGGGCGGTGGAGTAGCCTAGTGGTTAAAGCGTTGGCTCGTCACGCCGGAGACTCGGGTTCGAATCCCCACATGGGTACAATGTGTGAAGCCCATTTCTGGTGTTCCCCGCCGTGATGTTGCTGGAATATTGCTAAAAGCGACGTAAAACCAAACTCAGTCAGTCAGTCTAACCAAGCTAGGGGCGGTAGGGTAGCCTAGTGGTGAAAGTGTTCTCTCATCGCACCAAAGACCTGGGTTTGATTCCTCATATGGGTACAATGTGTGAAGCCCATTTCTGGTGTCCTCTGCTGGAATATTGCTAGAAGTGGCGTAAAACTCTCATCCCCTCTTACCAAGCTGACAAAATGTTAAAAGAGGCATTAAACCCACCTCAATCAGACAGCCAATATGGATCAATGAAAGCTGAAAACAATTCTCGGATGATTTTTTATTATTAAGATAGTTTTCAAGCTTATGCTGAGTTGATTTATCTAGATGGTCCAATGGTTAGCGTGTGCTTGCATCACCAACCTTGAGTTTGATTCCCTTCATTGGTACATGAAAACCTTAAGTGTTATTTTCTGGAAACATCTCATCATATGTTGCAGATTACTACCTGCAGATTTTCCAAACAAAAGAACTTATTCTATCAAAACTCAAAATTTATGCCAGGCAGTCATTTATTGAGGAAATACAGTATATATAACGTTAGTAAAGAGATAGATACATTGAGTCAATAAGGAAATTGTTGATTTGTGGATCTGACAAATGTCTTCTTGTGCATTATTCCAGCAACAAGAACATCACAGGTTTTGCAGAAAGTGTCCTTTTATTCAGATTAAACTTTAAACTTATAATATTAAACTTGGTAAAGTGTTTTACAGCTTTGTGAGTAAGATATGATTTCGTATTTTCGATATTAACTCATGTTCGAGCTGCTTTGCTCCTTTCATGTGACCCAGTTATTCCTGTAAGTCATACTACACGAAAGTTATAGAACACCTGATTTCCTTGAAATGACTTAGTTTGTTGTGGCTGGTGGCTATTACAACACACAACTTTCTAAAGTGTTCCTGAACTTGTTTGAGTAGGATAAAACTAAATGTTCCTCAGGTTGTTTTGAGTAGGATAAAACTAAGTGTTCCTCACATGTTTTGAGTAGGATGAAACTAAGTGTTCCTCACATGTTTTGAGTAGGATGAAACTAAGTGTTCCTTAACTTGTTTTGAGTAGGATAAAACTAAATGTTCCTTAAATTGTTTTGAGTAGGATACAACTGACACCCACGGGGCACATTAGTCCGATTCCTCCCATGTTTAATCTGTCACCTTGGCTTGAAACTGAGGGCAATATACCTGCCAGCTTAACACAGATCAGTGTGACTGTATATTTGGCACAGGCTTAATGGCCATGATATTATTGAGGTCAGGTATACCAGGGGATACTATAGTCAAGACATATTGGTATCTAAATGCACTGTGTCTAGGATGTGTCTGGCTGTGGTTGTGTAGATTCATACTCCTCCAGTTTTAATGGAGATTCTGTACTTACACCTCAATTCAATACTTGAGACATATTTCATGAAACAGGCGGCACTGAAGCAGCCAGACTGTTCTCCAACTGTGTATATGCCATACAACATCTGTTCTCTTTCCTGTCTCTCAGATCTCGCTTCTTTTCTTGCCTTATTCTCCAGGGCCTAGATTTTCGAAGCTCTCTTAGCGCTAAGATAGTCGTAAGTGCCATACATTAACATTACCTTATGACTATCTTAGCACTAAGAGAGCTTCGAAAATCTAGGCCCTGAATCTCAGACAGCATCACACACCTCGCTGCAGTTCTCAATCACATCGCTGTGTAATTTCATCTCATTCATCAGCTTAGTCTCACACCAGATTTTGTGATCCAAGTCGTTTTTGTTCTTGTTTTCTGAATTTGGTTCTCCTCGCTACAAGTATTGTTTATTTGATATTTGTTTTCAAATATTTTCTTGAAACTGGTTATCTTAAAAAATGAATCATTTTCTAATATTTCCATGCTTTTTAGTTTTGTGTTGGTTATTCTGTATAAATATTTTACTATCAAACTAGCACAATTTGAAGAAAATTTTGTTCTTCAAATTATTATTTTCATCTGGTCAAGGTTGCACTGAGGGGCATCTGTTGCCTAGTTACCTAAAGTGATTTAATTTGCAGTGTAGAGTTACGTCCCTTGGATGTGCCAGGAACCTATTGTCATGAATTCAATCTTCTTTCAAATCTACTGTTTCTAAACTTGTCAGTATCATACCAAATGCTGGGGCGGTGGGGTAGTCTAGTGGTTAAAGCATTGGCTTGTCACGCCGAAGACCCGGGTTCAAATCCCCACATGGGTACAATGAGTGAAGCCCATTTCTGGTGTCCTCCGCCGTGATGTTGCTGGAATATTGCTAAAAGTGGCGTAAAACGTAAAACCAAAACTCAGTCAGTCAGTCATTCAGTCAGTCAGTCATACCAAATGCTAAACGTCCAAGATCTGTATCACTCTGGGCTGTCCTGCCTACATAAACTGTCAAGACCCCATATTTAACTGGGGCGGTGGAGTAACCTAGTGGTTAAAGCGTTCGCTAGTCACGCTGAAGACCCGGGTTTGATTCCCTACATGGGTACAATGTGTGAAGCCCATTTCTGGTGTCCTTCGCCGTGATATTGCTGGAATATTGCTAAAAGCGGCACAAAACCCAACTGAATCACTCAGCCATATTTAACTGGGATAGGGTTCAAAACAACTCTAAACCCATCTCACTTACCTCTTCCGACAAAACCTATTTTTTTCATGTTTTAATTGCTATTATGATTTCTTAATTTATATTTCAATCCTCTTGAAAATATCGGTTCCTTAAGGGACATTTCAACTTGACATTCTCTGTGAACTCATTCAAGGAGTCTTCTCTGTACCAAAGAGTTCAATAGATGCCCGCATATAACATTTGGGTTTGAAAGTTAGGCAGTGAACTGTCTTGGCCCTTCGAGTGCATGTTCAAAACGCTTGGAACACATGGATACTGCGTGTGTTATTGTATATATGTAATATAGACATTCTGTACACTTATTTATCATGCATATACATAGCAACCGAGGACTATGCAAGCTTGTGATAAAACACCATTACTCATATATCAGTGAACACATAGTCAAATAAACATTTTGTAGACAACTTTTTGTTGATTTTGTAGTTTTTTTATCATTTACTTTAGTTGGTGGTGGTTTGACATCTACCATCCAATTTATGAGATTTAGAGACTTGTGAGGGGCGGTGGGGTAGCCTAGTGGTTAAAGCGTTCGCTCGTCACGCTGAAGACCCGTGTTCGATTTACCTATATGGGTACAATGTTTGAAGCCCATTTCTGGTGTCCCTCACGGTGATATTGCTGGAATATTGCTTAAAGGGGTGTAAAACTAATACGGTAGCAAATAATTTAGAAAACGTAGCAGGTACGCACCACAGCAATAGTGTACGGTCTTAGAATCATTTACAGACTTATTTATCTGAGAAAAAATATTGGTTTATTGTTTATTGACCTGTTTACACAAGACTATCAATGCTGTGGTGCATATATGAAACGAAACAATAATGTACTCTTAAGGTTTTCCAGTACTCCTGTAGTGAAAAAATATGGAGTAAAATATGTTGAAAAATTATCTGGAGCCCTGACACACTAAATTGCTCAAACCTCTGTGAATTTTGATTTAGTAATGTCAAAAATGGCAAGATATGTAAATTTCAGTATCTTGCTCTCCCTACAATCGGTGGATTGTATCATAGACATTGGC